AGAGTCCGTAAATTCTTGCAGTTGCACAAGGAACTCGGAATTAGTGGACCTTCGGGTGCAAACATTAATGTCAAATGACGAACCTTCTTATATCCATCAAACTCCATTATTCTCTTATTATTACCACCCTCAGCCTCCAAAACTAAGCATTCATTCTTAGTTAGAAATTGTAGAAAGTCATGCACAACATCATGCATCTTGCACTGCGTTATATTTCCAAGTTCATCTTTCTCAAATTCTTGAAAGAAAGAGCGCATTACTAAGTTATCAAAGTACATTTCGCCTAATGCTTCTTTTTCTTTGTTTCCGATTGAATTAAGATAATTTTGTGACATCCACAACTCAATCAACTCATCTTTGACAATGTTATAATCTTTTGGGAAAATCACACAATACAAAAGACAACGTTTAATTGCCGGGGCCAAATCATAATAACTTAATAACAGTGGTTGGAAAACTTGTTCCTCAACCACATCTAACTCCCATATCTTACTATTCAAAACGTCTTCCCATTCTTTCCTCTTTTTCTTGTAGCGCATGAGACCACCCAATGTCTTTGCAACAAGGGGCAGGCCCTTGCACTTTTTGACAATTTCTTTACCAATAAATTCTAACACTTTAGACTCATTTTTTTCTCTATCAGCCAGTGCAATGTGATAGAACAATGCCCTACAATTTTCTTCACTCAACACCTCCAAATTGACCATATCAGTGGATGCTCCCATCATCCTTGCAACATCCTCCCTTCTTGTGGTCACCAATATTCTACTACCCACAGCTCCATTTTGTAAAGCTAGCTCTAATGGTTCCCACTTTGTATAGTCTTTGTTCCACACATCATCTAGGACAAGAAGGAACTTCTTGCCCTTAAAAGACTCGTGTATAAACTCCAAGAGTGTTTGCAACTCATTTGAAGCTGGGGTATTCCACTTTTTCAGGCCCTTAATGATGGCTTTGGCAATTTTGATCTCATCAAAAGGATCTGAGACACAAACCCATATTCTAGTGTTGAAATGAGCTTGAACCTTTTCATCATTATAGGCAAGTTGGGCAAGAGTTGTCTTGCCAATTCCTCCCATCCCTATAATAGGGATGACAAGGCTGGTTGCCTCTCCTTGACTACTCTCACTCAGCAACTTTTTTACTAATATTTCCTTTTCGTCGACTCGACCAAATGTCTTCTCAACGAAAGAAGAACTTTTTTGTCGTTCAATTTGTTCAACTCCTCTTTTCATGTATTGAAAGTTATAGTTTTGTCTTTCACTAGCAATCAGAGCTAATGTTTCATTCAGTTCTTTTATCTTCACAGCAATGTCACGATGAAGAATTACTTGACGGACTTGGCCAAAACAAAACCAAGGGGCAGGAATGCAGAAACATACCTTATTGGTAGTACTAGTACTACCAGCATTACCGGCTTCTTTTTCTTGTTTCAGAATTTCAGTATTCCACTCGTCTAACACGTCGTCCATCTCGTAGGATACATCCTTCAAACTGTCCAGCCAGTATCTCACAGCCACCTCCTTCATTTGCCTCTCCTCTGCATTCTCGAGCACAGCTTTAATAGCTTTGAAATTGCGGGTGAGTTTTGCCACTTCTTTCTTAACATCCATAACTGGTCTGACCTCTTGTTCTACTTTTTTTTTAATGATTGCGGCCAACTGTTCTAGGAGCACGGAAATGAGTGCTTCAGCCATTTGTTTGCTCTAGAAATGGATTTCTATGGAAGAAAAAGGGAAAGAGGAAAGGGAAGAAATCTTTTAATGCAAATGATAACAAGGTAGTGTTGGGAATTGTTGTAGGCATTCTCATTTCTCCCCAGCTAGTTTTATAATGTTGAGGCTGATGAAGAATGCTTGTAAGTCAATTCAGGCACCACGACGACAACAAACACACACTTGCCAATCAACAAGAATAGAATTTATCTCTTCCCTAACTTGTTTGTTTCTTCTCTTTTAATTCCTTACTTTTTCTTTCCCCTACCTTGTTCCCTTATTCTTTTCTTGTTTGCTTGGTCGAAGCATCCTCCAAACAGCCTCTTATTCGAAAACTAAAAAAATTTGATGGCTTCTTATCTCCTAAGTGAAGCTGAAATCGACAAGTTGTTTTTCCTTTTTTTCCCGATAAGCTAAAAACCAGTGAGGTCTAGGCTAGTTTTATAAGAACAAGACTAGAGAATGTTGCTTGTAATTGGTAAATTGGATTTGATACTGCTATTAACCATTTGGGTGAATTTGACTTTGCATACCTTAATGGTTAAGAACTTCTTTGACACGTTTACAACTCAACGTCCATCAAGTATAAAAAGTCTCAGTTTGTGCTACCTACAGTGTCAATCGGGACATGGAACAAATAATGTTATTGTCCATAGGGTGGAAAGCAACCAAAGTTACATCACGCCAAAAGGAGGAAGAAAAAACATTTAATATTCTGTCTGAGGGGCTGGCACGCAAAAATAAGAGAAATGATGAAATCCCGGAGGCTAAAATTCTTGAGAACATGAAATCGTCAACACATTAAACTGGGTAACACAACAACTTCAATACGGAGACCAACATGACAGGCTACAGACAAGAGAATGGCTTAAAACAAGATACAAATTTGACGCAAAAGTCCATATGACATAAATTTTGATAGAACAAGAGAAGAAATAGGGAAATAAACTATACAAACAAGATGAATAAGTCTTCAATGTCTCAATCATCTTCATAGGATGACTTTTCTTTCTTATGAGAATCTTCACAAGATTTTTCTGTTCTAATCCTATTTGTGATTTTGACCGATGAGCCTTCTACAAACCTTGTAGCATAAATAGTGCTCCCACAAAGCAGTTATATTGCAATCAAAGAAAATCTGTATAACAATTCTCCAACTCTAAATAGGCTTATTTACTGTTGTGCTGGCTGAAACTTCAGTTAAATCTCACTTTACCCTTCCAAAGTTAAAGTGGCCCACTTACCATAATTGCACACTTTCTCTATTCGAAATAATGAACTTATACTCAATAGTGTGTACTATATAATTATGTTGTACCCATATAATTAAGTTGTTCATTTTAAATTTAACTCGAGTCTAACGAGTTAAAACACTCTTTAGTATTAAATTAAATATAAAAAGCTCACATATATGACATTTCACTTAACCATGTAATTGTGGGAAATACAATTCAAAAGACGAAAAAAAAGGGAAAAGAAAAAGGAGAAGATATTCCTACGAATGACAATTATACAAACTAGCAAACAAATAAAGAACACATAATGCATATAATCCAAGAATAGCAGCTCATTCTTCTAGAACTGTCACGCCATGTACTAAAAGCCTTGATCAACTTGCATTTCCATGTCTTATATAGACAACCAATTTCATAAAAAGCTCCAATGAAAGGGTTTGTCTTCTAGGATTCTCACCAATACCACTGCCCCACTTAATTTGGTCTGACATCAATCATTGCACTACTGCATTTTACTGGAATATCTGGGGAAGGTGGTGGCTGGTTCCATTGTGGTTGCAGCTGTTACAAAACTAGTTGTCTAAGTACATACTTGATTTGGCCAATCCTTTGTGAATGGACTTTACAAAACTAGTGGTTTGAGTATCAAATATGTATTGTACATATCCAGTGCCACATTTGTTTTATGTGGTATATATTTCATTGAAATGGAAAGCAAAGAGATGTAAACTTCATTATAGGAGTGAGAAATTTGTGTCGTATAATCGGTAAAAGAGCATGATGAGGATGGTTTTATGAGCATATGAATTTTTGCTCCCCTTCTCACAGTCTTGTTTTCTATTGTCATCTGAGATTTCACTTAATTTTGTTTTGAGTTGGGAAAAGTACATACACAGAAAATGGACTAAAGAAAGTGGCTTCTTTTGTGGTTTTGTATTGTTTTTTTCTTTTTTAAGGATAATTTAATTTTTTTAAGTTTAAAAAAATTAAATTTTTAAAACCACAAAAATGAAAAAAAAAAAAAAAAAAAAACAAGGGAAAGGCAATCAACGTCTTCCCCAGCCCCTTCCTCCCAAGATTCTCTATCTGCAATCCCACATCCACAAGGGTTTTTGAGTGAATACCCTTAGGAGTAGCTCCTGTTGTTAGTTATTAGCCAATGACAAAAGAAGCTGTCACTTCTCATACCCATGGAAATGAAGAACTATAACATGATGACCAAAAACAAAACATGGTAGCATGTGTTACCCACATTCACTACCATCAAGCTGGTTCACAGCTTCCACAAAGGCTTCATGAAGTTCTTGTGTCCAACGCATTCTAGGTTTGGTTGGAGGTGTAGTGGACAATGGTTCAAGGCTGGGATGAAATTCTTCAAATTGAACTGGCTGATGGTGTTGAATTTGGGGCGGGTGCACCAAAATATCAGAATATCAGTTGCAGAGAAGGCGTTGTGCACTTGGGGAAGAAGACAACGCCTACTTTGAATCGGATTCTTGAAAGAAAGTGAGAGGAGAGAAGAATAAGAAGGAAAAGTGAGAGAGAGAGAGAGAGAGAGAGAGAGGGCATATCTAGAGAGATAGACGGGGAGAGAAGAAAGAAAAGAGAAAGAGAGTGAGAAGACGGAAAAGGAAAAAGCACAAAGAAAGAGAGAGATAAGAAATCATGATTTTACATTTTCTTTATTATTTTTTGGTATTGTCCTTGTAAAATGACAAACTTACCCTTATAATTAACATAAAATTGGATGGAAGTCTAAAAACTTGACAATTTTAGGTGCTAAATTGATCATTTAAAATAGTTTGAGGGCTAAATTAGCTGAAAAAATAATTCAGGGTGGAGATTTCGACAAACGTAATAGTTCAGAGTGGTATTTGACAGTTTACCCCAATTTTTAGGAGGACTTATTACAATGTTCATTGTTGCAGAGGGGCGAAGCCATTTGGAAAGGCGCAAGAATTCCAGTGATTTCTTCCACATCCATTTGAAAGCACTTCATGTAACATCCATTTGGTCTACTTGAAAGAAAATTCAACTGCCGTGAAAATCTTCAGCTGCTTGGATCAATATGTGGCTTTTTAAATCAAAATTGGGCTGAAAGTCAATAGTTCAGATAAAAACCCAGGTGAATCATTGAAAAGTAGCTCATGATTTTGGTTATGTGGGGGCAAAATAACCCGTAATTATCGACTTCATCTATATTTCAATGAGTTGTTCTATGGTGAGGGTGCAATATATGGGCCATAAATGTGGACCTTCATATTAACCACATGATTCATATGAATAGTAACTTTATTAAAGTTTAATGAAATGATCATGTGGCTAATATGAAGGTCCACATTAGATGTCCATATATGACACCCTCACTATAGAATTTCGTATATTTCAATCCTTACAAATTAAAATCCACTAAAATAAAATAAAACTAATTATCTATACATACATGGTCTAAAAATCGAAGGAATTAGAAATATATACACATATGTAAATGAGACAAATAGAGAAAAGTAAACAACAATTCTACAGGCATCCTTTGTCTTTCTTTCTTTCTCTTTTGGTTTTGGGCATTTTATCCCTCTTTTGCAGCTAATTTTCTTTCTACTAAACCAGGAAAGTAAAGCCAAAATCTGAATTAGTAACAAAACAAAAAGGAGGGCTTGGGCTAATTCTATTTTCCTAGTGTCAGTACTTATGTAAAAACAAACCACAAACAATATTCCAAGTGGGGGCAAGGCAATCAACCCTACTAGGCATACATTGGATTCGCTTTGTCCATGCATACATGGTTATGCATTCGGTTTTGAAGATGATGATCAGAAGTATTCCTCTTGGATTTAGATTTAGGATCATCCGCATATGTTTAAGTTCATTTTGAGATTTTATCAAGTGTTAATTGACAACCTGGTTATCTTGATTTCATCAGGTATCATGAGTTTGTCTTGCTGATTTCATGCTTGAAATTCATAGAGGTGATTTCGACAATATAGGCCTACATGTTCAATCACACAAAGAAGCATTGACTTAAGCATCACTCATATGAGTGAGCGAAGGTGATTCTTATTCCTAGTGAATTATGATATATGCAGCCAAGGGGTAGTTGCTCTGCCTGGAATCCTTGATGTTCCAAGAGGATCCTTATCAGCAACAGCAGTACCTAAATGATTCGAGCAAGGTTTAGGAAAGGTTCCATTTGAAAAGTCTTGCACCTTAACGTCTAGTCCCAGAAGATGGGAATGGAAAATGTCCATTCTCGTGTTTGGTAACGCTGAGAAATAAGGACTATGACTGACCACTTTCTCTTATTCCCCATGTTTGGTTTGTGCAACATTAGGAATGGAAAGTTGTTGAGTTTTCCAATAGTACCCTTTATTTTTTATTTTTCAATAATGCTATTTTTACCACCTTTATTGACCACCTTGATAACCACCTCTGTAATAGAGGTGGGCCCCACCAGTGTATGTGAGACCCACATATATTTGAGAGATGGTCAATAAAGGTAGTACAAATAGCAACAACCTTATTTTAAAAAATTAATAATGAAAGGTGATATTTAAAATTCGAATAGGGATAAGTTAGTCTAAAAAAATTGTAACAAATATGCTTTCCCAAGTGGGGGTAAAAAGATTTCCAATGGGTAATGGTGTGAAATTTCCCCTAATATATAGGCAGTTCATCCTTATGGATCAGTTATTACATTCTTAAGAGTGCACTTTCCAAACATGGAAATGCAATTTTGTACCCATTCCCATACTTTAAAAATTTAAACCAAACGGCCCGTTGATTTTTATTTATTTTTGTCAGAAACATGTTTCATTAAGAAACACAACAGAGAGCTAAAACAATAACCCAACAAAATTAATACAAGGCCGAAAGCCCAAAGAAAAGCCACCTTTATTTTATTCCTTCACTTTAGCACTTGTTACCGTGAATAAATTTCTTATATTTAATTTTTTTTTTGGGTCTGGAATATTTAAGTTATTCATATACTTTTGTAGCCTATTTGCTTAGCAAGTTGCCTCTTCTTTCTCCATTTAGGCTAAGATCCATAGCTATCATTTTAGACATTTGGCTTTTGAAATTGTTGTAAAACTGAAAGGTGAAAGGTAGAAGGAAGGGTAAGGAAAGAGTATTAGAATGTGCGTTGGCAATTAGTGGAGAGGGCCTAAGGGCTTTTGTAAAGTTTCTATCCTCCAATCCAATGTGGACAATCTCAACACCCCCCTTACGTGGGGAGTCTATTGCACCTTAGTGGGAGAATGTGGGACCGTTGGCTTGCCAAATGGATATATAACCTGACTCTGATACCATATTAGAATGTGAATATCCAGCCAATTGCCCAACATCCTTTAAACACTATTGCAAAGCTTCCATCCTCCAATGTGGGAGCTCTAAACATAAAGAGCGGTGAGAGAAATAAAATATATATATATATATATATATATATTACCGTCTTATTTTCAAACAATGGAACAAAGATTCAAAAAAAGAATTTTTTTGTTACACACACGGTATGACACTTTTTGGTAAGAAGCATGCTCATAACTCAAACTTTTTTAAAACATGTTTTGGCCAAAAGTATCACTAAGTCTTTTATCTTTTCCATTAATTCTGCATTCAGCTTATGGAGTATCGCTTCCTCTTATTATGGGGTATAACTGTTTCAATGAGCTTCAATTTCCGTGTGTGTGTGTGTGATTCATCCATCATTGTGTGTGTCACAAAGTCCATCAACAACAAGATCATTAGGGGAGGGTGAAAGTGTTTGTCCATTTTTCACAACAAGATTGACATGACTGGCTCAATTATTGTGATGAATAACAAATTTGTTGATGCTCCCTTGTTTAATAAGAAAGTTCAGGAGCTTTTAACCTACTTATGTCTTAAAGCATATACTACAGTAAATTGTTGTATTATTATGGGAATTTACAGCTTGAAGTCTTAAATATACGCTTAGTTTACGGTGCAGCTCAATATACTGGGGACCTTTCTGACATACAATGTAAGGAGAGTCTTGATGTTACAAGAAGAGAACTTCTATATGTGACTCATGGAAGAATAGATGGGCATGTCTATGGAAGTTGTTTTGTTAGATTCGAATTGTATCAGTTTATTTATGGTAAATGAGAAATATGATGTAGGGAATGTCATTAGGCTATTCTCTAATCTTTGTTAATTCGTAAGGCTTTAGTGGATGGCCAATTTAAAGAGTTGCAACCCAATGTAATTGAGATGATTGAAGTATAGGAGTAAGACTTTGTATGAGAGAATTTGACAAATCAGTGTTGTACAACACCAAGTATTTCTACATTTTCCTTATTATTTCCAACAAAAAGAGTTTAAATCAAAATACAAATCGGAGAAATCTGTAAGTTTGGTAAACTAACAAGAGAACAATCGAATAAATTATACCACTTGATAGAAAATGGTTTAGGAAGGTTGAAGTGCAGACGTCGAGACACTTTGTGGTCCGAATGACCAGTACCCTTGCCAGATTTGGTAACTTCTTTTTGCTGATGATTGCAGGGTGTAGAAATAATTTAGAAGTTTGGATTTAATTTACACACAATCCCACACAAGAAATGTTTTGTTGTCTGTTCTTGTTTTTATTCAATAGAGAAAAATGGAAAAGATATTGGTTGAGGAATCGAGAAATCAAATCAAATATATGACATGGCGATAGGCTGGACTGCGTCTAATAGCTTCTTCCCTTTCTAGTTTGTTTTTAATCAACCAATCATTATATATCAAGATGCATGCTAAAATCTTACGAATATAAGAAAAATAAAGATATTGATAAAAAAGAAAAGATAAACGAGAATGCATGCTAGAATTATAAAGATCCGAATTAATCTTTTATTAATGAATGTACTAAAAAAATGATTAAAACAATTCTGTTATCTAAAACAGGTACAAAATACAATCACTAACAATCATATGTACATGTCCATCTCTCGAGTCTTCATAGTAAATATGTAAAAGAACAAACCCATGATGACAAGCAGTGGCGGAGCCAGGATTTCACATTAGAGGGGGCCCTTCAAAAAAAAAATTCAAATAATTCGAATAGGAGCCCTCAAGCGCTATCCGAGTTAATAAGTTAATAATATCATTTCATACTGATTAATAATTTATCCATTTATTACAATCATAATTGTCCTGAATTTCATATTTTAACATGGTTGAATATTAATCTCATCATCTACACTATTAAAGACTCAAAATTTAATAATTTATACTTCAACATAGATAAGAAATATACAAAATGTTCATAAATCCCAATATTAAGATGCCCTACTTAGACATGTAAAATGGGGGAAAGGGGAATTCACAAAGCTTAAGTTAATCAAAAGAGGAAGAGAAGGAGAAAAAACATGAATTTTTACAGTTTTTACTCCAGGAAGCCAACATATATAGCAACACATATAAGTAAAAATATGATAAAATAAAAAATATGAGAGAGGGCCTAGGCCCACACTGGTCCTTAGGTGGCTCCGCCACTGATGACAAGGGAGGACAAAGAGAAACCCGCCACAACAGCTGGAGAAGAATTATCAGGGGGCGGGGAAGACCCGGGAGTAGCCTTCACAGTGGGCCCGCCAGCCGTGGATGGTGACGCTGACGGGACTGGAGCACAAGCCGCAGGGTCGTTCGATGATGGTGATGGCGTGGTAGGAGGGGCAGTGGGCGGCGGTGATGGTGGCTCAGAAGTTGGTGCTGAGGGCGAGACGGTGATGGCTAGCTTCTGGGAGAACTGGCAGTTGGTGCCCTTAGTGCAGATGAAGTAGTTGTCGCCTGCTGAGGTGAGCGTGACGTTGGCTGGGCTTGTTGTGATGGGCGAGCCAATTGCGTTGTCCAAGCTGCATGAGTCGAACGATGCTTTGGGTACTTGTAGTACATCGTTTGCGTTGGTGTCGAAGTTGAAAACTGAAGAATTATTAAGAAACGTCTAGTGTAGAAGAGAGGTAATTAATTTTTAAGGAAAAAGAAAAACTAGTACTTGTTATATTAATCTAAAGGGTAATTTAAAAATCAAGTAATCTCATGAGAATTAGGTAAGACCCAACGTTAAATAATGAGTTCCCCAATTGACTGGCAAAGACAATAGGTGAGAAGTTATAAATCAGAATAAAAAAGGAAATTAGAAGACTTGAGAAATCTTACTGAGAATATCACCAACAACGAACTTGTTATCAGATGCCCAAACAAACATAGTCTTGCCCAGATTGTGGAACGGTCCAACCTAAGCTATCTCTCACCACATGCACTGTCTGTGCTGCTACACAAACACACCAAAAACAACCACCATTTTGCTCTCCATCTCTCTCTCTCTCTCTCTCTCTCTCTCTCTCTCTCTCTCTCTCTCTCTCTCTCTCTCTCTCTCTCTCTCTCTCTCTCTCTCTCTCTCTCTCTCTCTCTCTCTCTCTCTCTCCCCGTACAAAATCGTGCTGTATGTGGGTGATCACTGAGGAGAATTGCAAGGATGCAAGAAATATTGGTGCCTATAAATACAGATGAGCAACAACTTAACTTACAGAAGAGGTAAGAAAGAATGAAGAAAGAGTTGTTAATTGGTTGGAGTCTTGGACGCAGCAGCCTTGACGAGGAACATATAGCAATTGCAATATGCATGTGAACGCCGGTCGTCTTAAAATTTGTATGCTTTTTTCAGTGGAAAGTTCCAGCCACCTATTTTTCTAAGTTCCATGTAGAAAGAGTTTTCCGTCATGCTTGACTTTCTATAACTAGTAGTATGTGATAACTGAATTTGCAAAACAACTATTTCAATTTCGGATGTGAACATAAGAATTATTATTTCATTCGAGAAATTAATGGTTTGAAGAGTAGTCTTTTGGCATATTAATTAATGATTTACAATCAGTCCTGATCTCTTGTGCTAAAATATGATATTTGGTTTTGAATATATTAGGTTCTTATTTATTCTTCTCCATAAGGAAGTATATATAAGAGTTTACATGAGTGCTTTACAATGAATTAGATCCAGTAAAGAATTAGGAAAGTATCTCCTAATTATACAATGATTTGACAATTATATAAAATAGGAAAGTAAATCCCTTAATTAATCAAGGAAATAAATCTCCTTGATTAATTAGGAGACTCACTTCAACACTCCTCCTCAAGTTGGTGCATATACGTCACAAATGCCCAACTTGGTAAGTGAGTCATGAAATACTCTGCCACAAACAGCTTTGGTTATTGATCTTCTGATTTTATGAATGGTAGGCGGATGATCTTCTTCTCAATTTTTTCTTTGATAAAATGTCTATCCATCTCAACATGTTTGGTTCGATCATATTGAACTGGATTATGGGCAATATCAATGGCTGACTTGTTATCACAATGTAACTCCATTGGCTTTTCTGGCTTGAAACCCAATTA